TTCTGATATTACGAAATGAATTAACCCATCAATCATCAAAATTCAATTATTTTCTGTCCGCAGCGCATGTATCACGCGAGGATGGTAGCAGAGTACGGCCCACGTATAGGATCAAGAGTCAAAGAGATCTCTCGCGGGGCGAGTTCAATGTGGGGAAAATTTTCGCCCGAGGATAGATATATGTATTATCGAATTGCAGAGTGCACTAAAAAATTACGTAATAAAATGTGGCCAGATCACGATGTCAGTAAACCCGCGCGAAAATATACTATTAAATATGGTAATTATGGTTATGGTGAGGTCAAAGGATGTTCGACAATGTCCTTCGGAACACGACCGAACAATCCACCTTCTGCGAATGATAACGTCAGTTTGGATCGAAACTCCGGTAATCAAAATTTTATTTACAAAATATTTACTTCAGAACTCAAACTTAGTGAGCAAAATTGGTCGATGTCTCAATCGAAAGTCAATGTCATGTCTTCCTACGACAGATCGCTAGTAGATTCGGTTAACAAATACGTTAGAATCTAAGTGTCATACAATACATTAAACGAAACTATGGTTTTACATAAATGTCAAGATTTATCCCATCCCTTTTTACGCATATCAATCGTATTTATATTTATATTTATTAATTTTTTATATATTTAATAAGATATTTATGTTATGGCATTTTTTTCTTTTTAAACTCAAATAATCATTATGTAGTATTCTTTCTTTCTAAACTCAAATAACCATTATGAGATAATTTCCGAATCAAATATTAATAAAAAAGGCTATCTGCATTAAGAAAAAAAGTTGTTTTTACTCTAAATATAATATTTATTCCAACAATTATTACAGATTCAACTATTCTGAACTTTTTTAAAAAACTTTGTCCCTCAAATCTATAAGTATGCTGTTGCGATGGTTTAAAACAAGCGTATCGGGTTACATCTGTACATGCATAACAGATCACGTTTGACATGAGTTGGTCAAAGATTTGAAACGTTCATAAATGCCAATGACAACACTGTTTATCCGAAGACCTGATCTTGTTATGCCGATGGCGTGTACGCGCAAGAAGAGCACCGAGAGAATATTCGTAACCTTTATCGAATGTACAGTGTATAAAATATAAATGCATATACCGCACAATCGTTATTTGGTATATGTGTGTTTGATTGTCATAATGCTCTTAATTTAAAATTTTTCCTTGATTCTAATAATTTAAACGGCTCAAGTAATTGTAGCACGAAATTTTGCCATTACAGTAGACACATGATATTATATGAAAATATGCATGTCGAATATATTGTATTGTTTATTTATGACAAATAAATCTTAAGTGAACACTTGTATTTTAAATAAAAGTCTTTTTAATCTGTTCAGGTATCAAAATGTTTTAAAATACATGTTGCAATGAATTATTGAAACACCGTTGTTCAAAGTGATTTTAAAATTACAGGTGTTCACAGTTAATTGATGGGCACAAGTTTCACAGCGAATACTGTGTGCATAAGTGGGCAACAGACTCTTTTTTTTGAAAAATTTTTTACGTACACAGTGACGAACTCGCTTGTTATCAGATCATTGGTTCGGTGTTAAAAATCATATCGAATATTTTCATATTGCTAAATTATCAAATTGCAGTATAATTACTGTAATCTATTATCGAAGGCGAATAACAAATGAATATTATACGGACCTAATTGTGTAATTAGGCGAGTTGTGTCGCGTCCTAACCCATATAAAACAATTGAATCGATAATAAATCCCTGATATTTTCGAATATTTATGAATCACGAAAAATTTTTTTTTTAAAAAAGATAATTGGTCACTGTGAAGTCTCTATAACTTCCGTAATATGCGTAATGTATATGCTTTATATCCTATATCTTTTGAATATCAAGTATTTTGTGTGGAAGAGAGTTATAAATGATCTTTCAAGGTAAAAGTAAATTGTATTTTCCTGATAAAAACTACTCTATATAATATATTTCTTTTGTGTTGAGATTTTAATATTGTTTAATGCTAGATATAGTATCTTATATTTACTAAGTTGTGTGCCTAAGACATATTGTATCGTGATTTAGAATTTACAGTATATAGCTATGAGGGTGAAATGGACGTGCATAAGTCATTCGAATAATATCAAAATCGATTAAAATGAGTAATGTAAGTGGGATGTGTGATATTGGCTATTATCATCAAATGGTATCGAAGTTAAAAAGGACGAACATAAAGTATCCAATATTGCCAAAAATCTGCTAAGATATGTGTCATGTTGAATGCCACATTTGGATAGGATTATCATAAAAGAAGTGATTCCCATTTGATTTACCGAAATCACGTTAAATCACGTGATTATAGTAGCTCCGACAAAAGTTACTCTTCACAAATTTTTAATAATTTAATTTTAAAAACTTTATATGATTATAAAAGCAAAAATTTTATCCTTTTTAATAATTATTTAATAATTTATAGAAAAAATGGCAAAAATTTTTATTATATTTAATTTAAATTCAAAATCAATTTGGAGAATATGGATAATTGTTGTTTTTATATATAGTATATATGTACATTTCATGTCTATCTATCAAATTCTTTCCAAAATTTTAACTTCATTTATAAAAAAATTTCCAATTAATTTACAAATAAATAATACAATGTTAGATTTCTTAAATATATCTTGAAAGGAATTCAAAAATATGAACTATATTATTAAAACAAAAATATTCTAATCTTAAAAATAAAACTTTAACTTAAAAATATAACATTGACCTTAATATAATATTTAAAATTTTAAAAATAATGAACATTGACTCAATATTGATCTTAATACTATTGAAGTTCAAAGAAAACTAAAAAAAGTCTCAAGTATTTTTTACTTAAAAAAACATTAATAGTTTGGAGTAATAATGTATTAAAAATCAATTTAATTATTACTGAATTTATTTTAACATATCAGGTTCAAAAATTTACAAAACTATTAAATATTTTTTATTTCAATGCATCAGAAAAATAGTTAATAAATTTCAAAAAAAGAGTCAACTTGAAACAATTTATGCATTATAAAAAAGAGATAGTACTCCTTTAAAAAATTTTTTCAAATTTAAAAAAACTTTATAAGATTTGTTAAAAGATTGCTTTTTGAAAATATATTTAATTATAATGAAATTGGTCTTTATTAAAAAATGGAACTCTCCAAATCTCTTACAAAAAAATAATTATAGAAAAAAAAAAAAAAAACAATAGATTATAATTCTTTTTTGTATAAATTTTACAAGTATTAAAAGATTATATTTTTTACAAAAATTTATATACTTATATATTTATATATTTTATTAGATTCTATAAAAATAAAACCATTGATGATTCATTATTTTAAATCACCTAGAATTTTGAACAAAACTAAGAAGAAAAACTTACCAGTTAGTTACAATTGAAATAAAATTATTTAAATAATTACTATAATTTGAAACAAATTTTTAATTTTTTAAATAATCAAATAAAAGAAAATAATAGATTTATTATTCTTTTTTATGGTCAAATACTTGCTTATTATAATAAGAATAGTTTGAAATCCAAGGATTTGTTAAATATTATATTATATTCATTATCTATCAATACAACTGCCTATTTATAACCAATGAATGTAAGAATTATTTATTTATTTAAAATAAATATACAATAATTTTTTTTTTTTTTTTTAATACTGGCTCAGCCTTGTTTTATTTATATTTATACAGTATTATTATATAGAATTTTTCTAAAATATACTATCAGTCTACTACTAAACAAAACTCAATAGAGATAATCTCTCTTAGGAGAAACTCACCTTGTGACTTGTTACTATCTATTAGTAGGAATAAACTTGCCAAAGCTAGACTAGTACTAAAATAAATTTTGTGAATGTAAAAGTTGTCTATCACATTTGTTATTTATTGTATTATAAATTCATTATTATGATTTTTATTAGTAATATACTAGTATATTCATATAATCAACATCTTTGGCTTAGTTACTTACACTACTTTTTTTTTTTTTTTTTAATACCCGTAGCCAGGCTAAATCGGTAGTTTATTAATCAATTGAAAACAAAAGTATATTTTCATTTGAACAGCATAATACATACTACAACTAAACTATTATTTTAATTCAACTAACTTGTTGTAAGCATAAAAGCCTCTAAGTTTGACCTTGGGACAATATTTCATTCTGTAGTGTCTTTAGGTAAAGACCCTCCTAGTCCACTGCATCATTGCTAGCAGGTTGTCACTGCCATATATCTGACCAAGCCGCTGGATTACAGGAAACTACAAAAAGATGGGTTGGAAAAAGAGAAGGAGGAATATTTAAAAATGTCTAAGTAGACAGAAAGAAAATGAAAAAATAAAAAAATGTAAAAAATATTTTCAGCTTCCTCCAAAAACCTGCTAGCAATGATGCGGTGGACTAGGAGGGTCTTTACCTAAAGACACTACAGAATGAAATATTG